TAAGCAAAGAGAGCAGTTCCAGGGATTGATATCTGAAGGAAGGCCACGCATTTGGCCTAAGAACCGCTCCTATTAATTCCGCATTTTCCAGAGCAAAGAACACATGGTTAACTCTATGGCTTATCATACATTCCAAAGCCCAAACAACACTTAACCTTTTTGCTTCATCCCTAGATCTGATGTTTGTAAAAGCTCTCCTGCTGTGAAGCAAAACCTCACCCTTTTCATCTCTAAGCACCCAAGCACAACCCACCAGAAAATTCCTTTTAGACCATGACATACCCACATTGCATTTAACCCACCCAATGGGTGGAGGAGACCATCTTGGAGCTGCCGAATTCAGGACAATGGGACTGCCACTAGCCACCCTTGTAGTAACCGGTTCTCTATCCAAGTCTACCTCCTGGGCCAAAAACCACTCCTCAACATCATTTTTAATCTTTTCCACTGACTCCAAGGCAGAAAAAACTTTCCCTTCAAAGAACAAAGAATTTCTGTTTTTCCAAATTCTCCAAATTACCCAAGGAAAGCTTTTCCTAAGCATAGCAGGCCATCTCAAATTGTCTCTGTTAATGAGGAAGTGCTGAATAATGGAGAAAACAGAACTTGAAGACATACCATTTTCAGGCGCCGGGTAATCTGAAAGAGCCCAAATCTGTCTAGATAAAGAACATGAGAACAAAACATGTTCAATAGATTCTCCTTCAAAACCACTCATCTACTATCAGTGTTTGACAGCTTTTGGAAAAGAAAAAAAAAAAAGTTATTGGATACGCAGTGGCGGAGGTAGTCTATTGGCAAGGGGGTCAGTTGACCCCATAACATTTATGAATTTTTAATTGTAACGTGAATGTCATAATAATTACTTGATGTTTTTGTTTAAAATTTCCATAATGACCCCCATAAATAGTGATCTAACTATGCATTTGACCCCTTTCATGTTCATTTTTTAATTAAAAGTTAATTCTCTTTTCATTTAATATATATTTTCTTTAAAATGGCTAAAAATCTATCACAACTCATTACATAATGATTTTTTTTCTTCTTTTTTAGACATCCTGTTTCAACTTTTTTTTGCTACCATTTTAAAAAGATTGTTCTTAACATACATTTTTTTTGAAAAATGCAAGATAAACACAATATACTATATATTTTGATAAATAAAAACAGTTTGAAAATAAATGTCCTTAATACAACTAAAAAATAAGAATGATAAACTACAAATATTTTATATTTGGAAAGTGATGAATTTTAAAAACTACATACATATATTTAATATTAAGAAGAAACGATTATTTAGTTTTCTTTTAGTAAAATAATTTATTCTTGACAATTTCTATTTTAAATATATTATTTATTATTATATTTAAATAAAATTATTAAAAATATATGACCCCCGTAAACTAAATTTCTGGCTCCGCCACTGGGATACGGTATAGTTGTATACGTGTTACCCGAAATAAACGTGAAACCGATAGGTTTTCAGTTTTCTAACAAAGTGTGCTGAAGAGTATAAAAGATCAAAAGTTTGTTTTTTCTGTTAATAGATAATGAAAAAGTGTTAATGTAACAAACTGAATGGCCAAAGAAGTTTTACTGGTCTATTTTCCAGAATAAGGTCAAAATACATGAAATGAAAATAGTCTGCTTTTTTATATCTGGAAGCTATATATATGTAAACTACGGTCAAGAAACAAATGAAAAAGGAAAATGTTAGTATAATATTGGTGTCATGTCACGATCGTCCACAAAAACTTATTGCAAGACTAAACAAACAAACAAGTCTTAGAAAGTTAGAATTGAGGAAATGCATTAAGTATTCAGATCTAACAACCTTTATAAATATAAAATCAGCCAAAAAAATTCATAATTTAGAGTGGTATGTGTTGAATCTTCTTTCTACTTTCTCTTATATTAAAACTGAAATTCACGCACAAGAATGGATAAGGGCATCATCAATGGGGGATCATGTGAGGGTGTTCTTATAGAGAATATAATGTTAAAATAATGTAAGATCATGTGTTTAGATCTTTTGTTTAGAAGTTGATTAGTGGGAGAACATGTGTAAGATCTTAAGACTTAATAATATAATAATCTAAATTAAATTAAGATTTTACAATTATTAAAACATTTAAAAATAACATATAAATTGCAAATGCCAAATTTATGAAAAACTGAAAATAAAAATGAAAATACAATACTAAATATTTATGAAAAAAACATTAAAAATATAAATAACAATAAACAAACAAACATATTACTTAATATAAGCACAAAAACATTTTATCTAATTAATACATAGTTTATTATCCAAATTTATTCCAAATATGTTGAATATTCCAACCAATGCCCAAATGCCACGTCACCCCGCAACACCCACAAGAACAGATCCAGGTCAAGAGCCCAGTTCCTGATCTTAAGCCCATTAACCCATTTTTTTGGATTTAAATAATGCTTAGACCAGGGAGGGTGATCCCCCAATGCAGATGGTCTAACTGCTAAATTAGCTAAAGCTTATCTACACATTTATTAGTTCACGAACCGTTCACTCTCACTCTTTGAAAGTCAACCCCTACGACACACCACTATCATACATCCATACACTTGTCGTGTCTTAATAATCATTTCAACTATGTTTTGAGATCGGAGTCCAAATTATAAAAAAAATTCTATTTACATGCCGGTTTAGTTTTTTATTTTATTTTGGTTTAATGTGCCGGTTTAGTTTAGTTTTATACAGTGGTCAAAAGCACTTATGTAATCACTTTTTAGTTAGGTTTTCAATATATATTTTTGGTTTCGTGAAAGTCCTTTTGTTAATGATTGATTATATAACCAAAATAGCTCTAAATAAATCTCGAAGAACAGTTAGAAAAAAGGAACGACGTAACTATAGCTAAACTTTCAACCATCGAAATAAATTGTATCGGAAGGTTCGATAACATTGTAAATTCGTTGCTTTTAATTTTTCTTCATTTGCGTAATAAGTAATAACTGAGGTTGATCGATGGTAAATTGTTTAAGAAGCTCTTGTATGGACGGTGATATATTTAGAAGGATCTAGAATGATATCATTCCCTATATGTGGCAAGTTTCTCTCTACTTATAAAACTTTTTAAGTGGCAATAAGAGCCACGTAGTAATAAGTTGGTGTACTTGTATCATTGTAGTATGTTACGCTTTTAATTAGGATCAGTATATCTTAGTACACTGATTCTATAACACATATCATAAATGTATTGTCTTTCGTCAAAGTTCAAACAATATGTAAAATATATCTTGTCCCCATCCCTTACAATTTGATACGTATACGGACCAAAAACTACAAGATATGACAGAAAGAACAAGAGGACCATATTTTCGGTCGAAAAAACATATCAAATTTTTAAAAACCAGTATAACTGGAGAATGAACTCATAAATGTCAACTGCATCTTAATTTCCCTATCTTATTATTTAGGATTCAAATAAACGACTTCTATTATATTTCTGTGGATTGAACTAATACCACTAACGAAAATTCAACCACACAACTCTTATTTCCGTCTGTAACAACTACTTATAAAATGGTTACGTATAACAACAAAAATGCGTACAAGTATTTATAACGAGCAGGTGGTCGTTACCCGACCGACTTAAATTCATTTCTCGAAATTTGTGGAGCATTGCATGCAAATTTTCTCCAATAAAGAAAGAAAATAAAATAGTTGACATTTATTTTATTAGAGTTCTATTCATGGAGTATAATTTTATCGTCGATGTCTTTCATAACCTTGAATATTTTAGCACGCCTTGAATCTTAGCTAATATCTCTTTTTATAGTTAATAAAGATAATTTTATCATTTTTAAAATTGTATGCATTAACTATCAAATTTTCATATAATTTGAAACGTATAAAGAACCTTTGAATGGTCTTACTAAAAAAAAAAACCTCTGAAAGGACTTTAGGAGATCATGATTGAAAAATATCTATGTACTAATTTACCATATCAGTTGTCTATAATTTTCTCCATAAATATTTATGAAAACAAGAAATTTAACTTTCGAAACATATGAAATACACTAGATCATTTAAATTTGATTGAAAGAACACATTTACTAGATTTATAACAACTACATTTGAAATTATATATAAATATATATATATATATATATATATATATATATATATATATATATATATCAGAAGAAAAGTATTTCTAATCACTATTTAAGTCTTTTTTTTTTAATAATAGCGATCCTCTTAAATCACTATTTAAGTATAATTTATTCATCACTTGATTATTTCTTTCAGCAACATGCAATATGTCTATCTGAACTCGATGTATTGACACAACCAAAACACTAACACAACCTCTATACTACATGTACTTGTTAAATGATCAAACTTCTTATATTGCATTATTATAGCTAGTTGTTAACTTTATATATAAAAGGAAACTTTATTGGCAAATAAATTAGCATATCTATATTAAGTGTTGAATCGTAGTAAATTCATGCATTATTGATACGATATATACCAAATCCACCCGGCCAAGTGGGATTTTAGAGAAAAGAATACTATGAATACTCACATTTACATCAATCGTCCATGATTCTACACTATAAATTACAGTGTAAATAAATTTGTTAGAAAATACTTTTTTTCCTTACAAAAAAAAATCTAATAATGCAAGATAAGAAAGGTTGATCAAACAAGGAAAGAAATATCCATAATGCATTGACCATGCTTTTACACTTTTAATATTAATATTAATCATTTATTTGCAGATTTTATTCTCTTTTTATATAAATCCTTCCTAAAATGTTGAATTTATTTTAGAAATCTTAATGAAATGTATTTTGTCATCACTCCCACAGTCAATAGTCAATACGTGCTCGACGATGGCTCGTTGACTTATTTAATAAAATGATATTCAAAATTAATTTTACATAAATACATACGTAAATGTGAGTATGCGTGTGGGTCTATATATATACATGAGAGTAATCGTGTGAATACAACCATTACAATTGTGTGACTATCATTTAAAGAATAAAGCAAACACATGATCCAAAGAAGATAGATAGGGAGACAAAAAAAAATCAAGGCAAAAAATGGGTTTCTCTCCATCTTCTTCATGGTTTCTTCATCCTCAGCTTCATCATGTTGTTTCCAAGATGTCTTACTTTGATGCTTTTTTATTCTATGTAAATACATCTCTCTCTTTAACAAAAAAAAGAAATACATCTCTCTCTATCTCTCTAAATATAAGAACGATGCTTTTCCTCTCTTAAGAAAATAATTAATCATATAATTTCTTAAAACTTTTTATTATTATTTGGTTAATTTGATTGTTTTTCAATTTTATATATATAGATTGTGCACTTAGTGGACAAGCTAGGATTGTGGCATAGATTTCCAGTGTTATTAGGAGTGGCTTACTTGGGGTTACGAAGACATCTACATCAACGTTACAATCTGGTACATGTTGGTCCGATCAACGGTCAGGGTTACGACAACGATGAGTTCTGTTATCGTACGGCTGACGGCAAGTGTAATCATCCCTCCGACGACTCCATCGGCAGTCAAGGCAGCTTCATCGGCCGGAATATGCCTCCCTCTACTTCTCAGTACGGCGTAAGTTTTTTCTTGGTCTCCTTCATATTCACAATTACTTTTTCATAACATGCAAATTAAATTTGAAAGTTAGATTTGTACTTTTGATTAAGTTTTAATATAAAGCGAAGTGATAATATAGCAAAAATAAATAGTAGCGGAATCAAACACTAGAACCAAATTTTGTGACGTTTTTCTTTTTAATCTCTACTTACCGGTGGTTGAAATCATATGATGTAATTCTCTTCTGTGTTTATTTTATTTTGTCGACTTTTGATTGATTTTAAGTGTATATTGATTTTTTTTTGTCAAAGTTTTTAAGTGTATATTGATGCAATAAAGTTTTTTTTGTCAATACTTTTTTCCCTGAAAATTTTAGAAAAAAAAACATAAAAGATTGTTGGAGCTTTAGTATTATTGGGGCGGACATACCTCATGAGAGCCACCATAATTGTTTTTTTTTTGTTGTTTTTGCATGATTAGTAATTCATCTACGAAAATATGTTATGAATTACATCAGTATAATGAGTAAATGCACAACGGCTTGATAATATATGATTGTGTATCATGACAGATTTTGGATCCACATCCAAGTGTAGTGGCGACAAAGTTGTTAGCTAGAAAAAGATTCATAGACAATGGGGACCAATTCAACGTGATAGCTTGTTCTTGGATCCAGTTCATGATCCATGATTGGGTTGATCACTTAGAAGACACCCACCAGGTTTATAATATTTTCAATTTTAACCCCTTTAATCTCGAAGATTTACATTTCTTTCCCTCAACTTTAGATTATAGAACAATAAAGATATTGAAACCTCAACCAGATTGAGCTTGAAGCTCCAGAAGAAGTAGCAAGTGGATGTCCATTGAAGTCATTCAAGTTCCTCAGAACGAAGAAAGTTCCCACCGGTGATCACCACAAATCTGGCGCTGTCAACACTAGAACCCCTTGGTGGTTAGTATCTCAATCATTAGTCACTGCTTAATTGTTGTTTAATTACTATATATCCGAGTTGAATTTTATAAAAAATATATATTGGGGATAGGGATGGGAGTGTAATATATGGGAATGACGAAGCCGGAATGAGAAGAGTTAGGGTTTTCAAGGACGGAAAGCTAAAAATCTCTGGGGATGGCTTGTTGGAGAGGGACGAAAGAGGTGTTCCGATCTCCGGTGACATAAGAAACAGCTGGTCAGGTTTCTCTCTGTTGCAAGCTCTCTTTGTCAAAGAACACAACTCCGTCTGTGATATGCTCAAAGTAAGTCATTAAATTGATCCCTTAGTTACGTTTTGTCTCTTTCTTGTGTTGCAAGCAGCAACTCTGTTTTTTTTTTTTTTTTTTTGAACAACTCTGTTTATGCACAATCATATTTTTTACATTTTTTCAGGAACGGTATCCAGATTTTGATGATGAGAAACTCTACCGGACTGCTAGACTGGTGACTGCAGCAGTTATCGCAAAGGTTCATACGATCGATTGGACAATAGAACTCTTGAAAACAGACACACTCACTGCTGGAATGAGGATCAACTGGTATGGGTTTTTAGGGAAGAAAGTGAAGGACATGGTTGGAGCAAGATTTGGTCCTATATTTAGCGGATTAGTTGGTCTGCAGAAACCGAAAGATCATGGAGTTCCTTATTCCCTTACTGAAGAGTTCGTTAGTGTTTACAGGATGCATTGTCTTCTACCAGAGACACTTATCCTCCGAGATATGAAATCTGAGAATGTAGACAAAGCCAACCCTGCAATAGAACGAGAGTAAGATATAGGATGTTTAGTACATTTTTTTAGGTCAATCCAAGCACGGTTTTTCTTGACCTATAAAGTTTTTTTTACAGGATACCGATGACGGAACTGATTGGGAAAGAAGCAGGAATAAAGGGTTCGAAAATTGGGTTTGAGCAGTTGCTTGTTTCAATGGGACACCAATCTTGTGGGGCATTGACATTGTGGAATTACCCTAATTGGATGAGGAACCTTGTGGCTCAAGATATCGACGGAGAAGATAGACCTCACCTTATAGATATGGCTGCCTTGGAGAGTAAGTCAAAATCAATTCTTCTTCTATACATCAGCAATTCTCTAACCGATTGATTGATCTGATTGATTTTTTCTCAGTTTATAGAGATCGGGAGAGAGGAGTTCCTCGGTACAACGAATTCAGAAAGAATCTGTTGATGAGTCCGATCAGCAAATGGGAAGAGTTGACAGATGATGAAGAAGCTATCAAGGTTTTAAGAGAAGTGTACGAAGACGATACAGAGAAGCTTGACCTTAACGTGGGACTGCACGCAGAGAAGAAGATCAAAGGATTCGCCATTAGCGAAACTGCTTTCTTCATCTTTCTCCTCGTCGCCTCCAGGTTTTTAAATTCCAAATCATTAATACTACATTTTGTTAAAACAGAGTATTTTCTTGTGTAACAAGGAAACTTACCTGGACTTAAAAAAATTTTAGGAGGCTAGAAGCAGATAGGTTTTTCACGACGAACTTCAACGAGAAGACGTATACTAAAGAAGGATTAGAGCGGGTCAATACTACAGAGACTTTAAAAGATGTAATAGACAGACACTTCCCGAGCTTAACCGATCAATGGATGCGATGTTCTAGCGCCTTCTCTGTCTGGGGCTCGGATCCTAACCCAAACACTTGGGTTCCTTTGTACCTCCGATCCGCTCCATAGGCCATAGGCCATAGCCGTCGGATACTATGTGGCACATGTTCATTAGTGTCACCGTGGTTCCCTGGTATATTTTTGGGGGCACTGAGATGGTGTAAAATCGTACATATGAATAATCATATTAGTAGAAGAGGTTTAGACATTAGTGTCTTTGGTTAAATAAATGATTACCCCAATTTCTCCTCACCGTCAGTCATGCAAATGCTAATGAAGTTCCCAAACCTGGATTTTGAGTACTTGCTTCGGCGTTTCTTAATTTACCTTATTTCTCCATTTTTGTATATGCAAAGCAACTTTTTCAGGTAGATAAGTAACAAAACTGGCAAGAATATCCATTTTTTACATGATTTCGACTTTCGAGTTTCATCAACCCATGATCTACCCGGTTACATAAGCAAAGAATTACATCGGTAACCAACTTTTATATATTCTTTCAATGTCGCCCCCGAACTACTAAATACACCAACCAAACCCAAACCCCGAGTGAGAGTGACAAACCAAACTTTTTTGCTTCTACAACTCTACTACGGGGCATAGCTTAAATTAAAAAGAAAAAGAAAAACACTAAGAATTGTGTAGAGAAGCAACTTTCACAGCCATCTCAGCAACACTCTCATCTTGTTCCTCTACTATGGGATCCTGCAAGATAACACAACATTTAAATTTCTCTCACAAGAACATTCATGCATCTACAAAGAAATATGGAGTTTCTCTTTGTTTACCTCAATGTTGGTTTTAGATTGTACACCTATGCATTTAGAACCACTGATGCTAGAGCTTTTCATCAGGTTACGCGCACTATACCCTCCTCCTCCTCCATTGTCTGTACCTTCAGCTTGTTGTGAAGCTTTGGGACTGTCTAAGGTTGAAGCTACAGCAGCTGTTGTTCTTCTCTCGATATCGTTGCTGCTTTCTTCCACTGTTTCATTCTTGGATGCAGGAACTCGCTCTCTGAAATGCAATACAAGAACATCAATAATGCTGGCTGGTTCATGATTTTGAAAAGACCATCACTTGATGCAGAGACAATAATTTTAATTATGATGAAAGAAACTGAGGTTTTTTTAATATCTGTTTGTACCTTGGTAAGGAAGCATGCTGTCTCTGAAGTGCGTTACTTTTTCCTCCTAGACCTTGATTTTCTTCGAGATGAGCAAACTGTCTCCGAAATCGATCTACCCCACTGCATCGGCAAAGATATGTTTCTCAGCCAAGTTTCTTGAAACCAGAACCGTAGTAACTTATATTTGATCAATTAGCCAACCTGGGGTACATGAAGCTGAGCTGATTGCCACCACGAAGGTATTCCTCCAGCATCTGAGGATGATATTCTAATATCTATGTTTTTTAAGTAATCCATTAGAATCACGAAGAGAGGAGAATCTAAACCAAAGAAGATATATAGAAGGCTCATCACCTCTCGGTAAATTAACTCTCTGATATCATCCTTTGTCAATTTCTTTCTCTCAAACTCAAATTCAAGCTTTGAAATCGGTTGTGTCGATGGTTCCCGCTCTTTACTTGACAGACCATTGAAGTATGGATCAGCTAATGCCTGTAAATACAGGCACACAGATATTAAGAGAGAACATAGAATTTCAGTTTGTACTTTGAATTTTCATTATCTTCTAGGTTCTGCATCAATGTGCCTGTAATACTGTCACATTTCAAAGCTCTCAAACATAGTTCTATCTACCTCATGTAGGAAACACTGAGCATTCAGATTTTGGTTCTGCAAATACTCTATGTGCTTCGAAAAGAAGGAAAAATAAAACAAAATTTACTTCAGCTTACTTCTTCGGCAGATGGACGATCTTTTGGATCAAAGGCAATTAGGCGTTCCAACAGGCGGAGGGCCGAAGGATCTGCTTTAGGGAATTTTTTAGAGAATGGGACTGGCTGTTTTTTCCTCATGTTGCCAAGATATCTCCTCGCCTTATCATTTCTGATCTGTCAATTTGAAGATAGCATATTCATTTATAATGCAACTCAAAATTGTTTTCATTGATGAAAAATGCTTGATGCAATAGTTTTTCAACTCATGGATATTCTTTTTCTTCTTCTTCCACAGAAGTGAAGAGAGCTATAATACAAGCTTCTAAACTTTGAAAAACTTAAAACAAGCATCTGGAATAGTATAACTGACCTTTGCTATTGCTTCAGGTGGTGGAGTGCCAAGAAAATCAGTCATAATATCCAATTGGTGAACCACGTTTTTGCCAGGAAATAACGGTTTCCCTAAAAGCATTTCAGCAAATATGCAACCGACGCTCCAAATGTCAATCGCAGGGGTATACTGTATTTCGCAAAAGTAGAGTTAGCATGAGATCCTGTAATCAAACCTTCTCCTGCACGCATGTAGATAGCTAACTAGAGCAGGCCTTTATACAAAAGTGGACTCAAAAGGCATACAACGTATTTTAAGAGATAGCAAAGGATTGCAAGAAAGCACATGCGAGAAAAATGAGACTGATTGACGTAAAAGAAATTAAACAGTAATAGAAGTCCAATCTGCTGAGAATTATAAGCTTACTTTTGAGAAAAATGATCCACAGAGTTCAGGGGCACGATACCACCGAGTAGCAACATAATCCTATTGAAAAAAGTTAGTAAGAGTGAGTACACAAGCACTTAAAGAGAATGTTACCCTAATACAACTTAAGCCTAATGGGAACAGACAGTGAACTTTCAGAGTCTTGGTGATAAAAATGACTCACAGTCCAAAAAATAGCGGTAGGGGCATCATTAAAAGATACACGAGCTAGACCAAAGTCACAAATCTTCAATTTGCAATCAGCATTAGCAAGAATGTTCTTTGGTTTCAAATCCCGATGAAACACATTCGCTGCAAACAGAGATAATAGTTGTTCAATAACCTTAAATCATAACACAAGTGAAAGAGAGTCTCTAAAAAAAGCAGAAACTAACCAGCATGAACATACTTCAAACCACGGAGAAGCTGATACAAGAAAAACTGATGATGCTCAGGAGTTAAATCATCATTAGCTTTAATCACCTGATGAAGATCAGATTCCATCAACTCAAACACAACATAAACATCACGAAACTCTCTTCGAGAAGGCGGAAGCATGATATGCTTAATCTCCACAACATCTGGATGAAGAAGCAACCGCAACAACTTAATCTCCCTAAGAATCCTAGTTGCATCAGAGATATGATCAAAAACATCGTTAATCTTCTTGATAGCAACTCTTTCGCCAGTGTGAGTATCTATAGCAGAACCAACAACTCCATAGCTTCCTTTGCCAACAACTTCTTGAATCTGATACCTATTTGCTTCTCCATACTCCGTGAAGAATTCAGCATTAGGTATACCCTGAAAAAATAAACAGAATCATTCATGGTTTTCTCAGAATTAATCAAATCAGATTCAAACTAATGGAAACAAACAAAATCTACCTTCTTCTCCATAGGTGAGTGATTTCGTTGCTGAACCTTAATCTGTCTTAGCTTAGAAGGATCGAAATCTTCGGTAACAGTAAGCTTCTTCAAATCGCTGTCGTTGGGATTAGAAACGGTGGGAGCATTTTGAATCTGATCGTGATTATTGGAAGAAGAAGAAGAAGAAGAAGAAGGACGACGTTGAAAAAAAAGCCAACGACGAACACCGTCGACGAGATTACCACCACCACCCATTGATTTAGAGGCTAATAATAATAATTACAGATTTTTGGGTTTCCGATTTTACTATCAGCCAATCGTTTCTTCTTCGTCAATCATTTACACATTATTCGCCGTTTCTCTCGCTGAATTTTTTTTTTGTTTTCTCTCGAGGACTTGAAAACATGTTCTTCTCTACTGTTTTTTTTTTCTTTAATTAATTTCGTCGTACTTGCTCCGGTTGATTCTGTAAGAAAGAGACAGAGAAGCGGGCAAGTGAAGACCCATTAGTTTATTAATTATTTCTCTGATGCGTCAAATTATTGACCAAATCGGTTTAATGTGTGGTTTATGATTTGCGGTTTGATTTGTGAACCACTAACTGGACGTTCACGTGCTATAGTATATAAATGGGCCTTGGCCTATTTCAATACTAGGGATATCCTTTTTAGATCCGGACGATAGCGAAAGATTTTAAACACGCTCATTAATAAAACAAACTTCTTCGTATTAGTCACTTTTATCTAATTCAGATATAAGCATTTTTTGCTATAAGAAGAATGTAGATTGTTCGAACATATTTTGTTCTTTTATGATTTAACTCATGATTAGTCAAGGAGCTTTAAGAGCACCCTCAGCCCCTGATCCAAGATGTTGAGATTGAGTTTTGCTAGGTTAAACTAGATAGTTGTTGTGTTTATGCGTCGTCTTTCTGGCCAAAAATATTAAAGGATAACTAATGTATTAGAGATTGGGCAGTCACAATATGTGACGTGAGCCAAGGTAAAAATAAATTGTGGATGATTGGGATGTGTCATTCTAAATATTTTTCGATGGTCGACTCAGATCATATTTAAACCATGAGATTTGAAAGCGAATGAAAAATCTAGACAACATAATGGGTGCATGTGGTTATGAGTTTAGACTTATAAAGATGTGTAGATAGACAATCAGATATATCATATAATTTTTTCACGTATCATTTTTTTTTTTATAAGTGGGTTCTTAAAAAATGGAAACTCATACTCGACGCATACAACAATGGCATACTTAATTCCTAAACCACCATGAATAAATATAGAAACTTAACTAAATAAAACACATTAGCTATATTTTCTTTCAATGATTTAACGAAGAAATAAATATTAGATAGAGGAGAAAAGTGATAGGTGGGGAAGTGGTCCCCAGCACCAAACAAAATGTGTGGCTGTCACCAATTAGAATGCACAAAATTCTTTATTACGACAAAAAAGAAAAACTAAAAGAATGCTTTTTTTATTTCTTTTTCCTGATTCGATAACTATGACGTGGCATACGTCACTAGACTCACTACCATTCGCGCGTTCATTTCACGTGCTTCGGTCAAATTAGTCAAACCCCCGAGAGATCCCGTCCCAAAACGAATGTTTCTTTTATGGTTTTAACTTTTAATCCGTGCTTTGGCCTATTAAACTCGCACGCAAGGTTTTAACTTATTACGTAAACGCTTTTTATTTTTTTTGGCTTAAACCAAAGATAACGTGTAGTGATTAGTAAATCCCCATTTACTTCTTTTCTTTTTGCTTCAACGTTACTAAGCTTTATACCAGATAACAAAAAATTTCTTATGTTTTTGGACAAATCTCAAGCCGCCCAAAATTGAATTGTTGGCCAACTACCCTTGAGCACTTACTTAAAACCTCCAATCGTTTTCCTTTTTTTTTGTTTTTATGAAATACAGATCCTTTATACTACAAAATAGATTTCTTAAGAAGTTTCATAGTTGGGAAAGTAGATAACATATTTAAGTCAAACGGGGGGATGTATGAAAATCACGGTAATAGTTTTTTTTTTTTTTTACCGTATCTATCATTCCAGTAAACAAAATTTTAAACCATCAATGGTGGAAAACAATTGCAAACTTCTTCCCATAAAAAGTTACGACATAAAAAAAAAAGTTACCACTATTTATGTGACGTTAAAAAAAAAGTTATCTGATGGTTTCTGAACCTCACAATCGTGTGGACACTATAGAGTTGATCAATAGAAAAATCATAAATATATGTGTTGGTCAACTATTGGCTCATAGCTCACACCATTCAATAGGATCAGAGAAGATACAATGATTACCTGTATTTACATTAATCATACATGCATACGTGTGGTTGTCCATATTTTGGCATAAATCATATTATATTTTATACATATATGACATACTATCTCTATTATGTTTTGTTGTAAGTTGTAACCACTATATAAACTAATTAATTTAGTATAAACATAAAGTGATATAGACTTTATATAGATAGATATGTTGAATGATGGAAGAGATAACGGTGTCTCTACACGAAAATAGAGTTAATTTCATCAAAGAAGCAAGATAATTTTTTTATATAATTAAAAACTACTAACTCGTTAATTAATTGAGCTCTCTATCTTAGTAAGGTTCACCGGACACTGCAATATACTCCCTCTGTCCCATTTTATTAGATGTTTAGACTAAAAGCACATAGATTAAGAAACAATAAATGTTTTCTCATTTATGAAAATTCAACCAATAGAAAAAGATACTGCATAATTAAAAACTATTAAACTAATATAAATCATGCATTGAAAGTAGAGAAAATCTTATATAATGGAACAAATAAAAAGGCCTAAAACATCTTATATATTGGGACAGAGGGAGTACAATTAACCACGTGCATATAATAGAATTATCTTTTCATGGGAATATTCAGTTAAATTCTCATTTGTCCTTTCCTTAAAATTGACAGTTTACTTAAACAATAAGCCATTTCTAGTCATTCTCAAAATATAGAAAGTTAATGGTCCTTAATTGCTGTGACATTAATGGCTATTCCTTTATTCCCATAAGAGATACAAGATCCAAACGCTATACTATTTATATGAAAAAAATGAAAATGCAGTTTTAAAAATAGAACCAAACGCCCTTTGATATATTTGTTTGAAAAATGTAAATTGATTTAGTCAATATTTATTAGTGGTTCATTGTGAAGTTTTTATTATTTTATTGGCAATAATATGTACGTTTCCTCCTCAAATGTGTTGATAAGATATATATACACAAAACATCCATAAACATTTTGTAGATAGATCACGAATATGAAGAGATTTAAATTGAAGAAAAAGATAAATGGAATTCACACAAACTTTTTTTTTATCTATTTTTTATTCTAACTAGTCCAAATAAGTCTTTATATCTGGACTCGCTAGTTTAACTCGTGAACTTTAAACCAACAAAAAAGTTAGCTTTGGAGGTTCCGCCCATTCAAGCACCATCGACAAACGGAAAAACTATATTAATTTTATTTATTATAGATTTTGCCATTTTTTATGTGGCATTTACGGATTTACCATTTTTACTAGATTCTTACGGAATTACCATTTTCGAACACTTAAAGTATACAAATTTATGATTTTTTTTTGATAAAATACATACTTCATAACATAAAAAATCTTAAGAACAAATGAAACCGATTAAACCCAAATATAAAGAATGAAACACATGTTAAATCACATTTTTATATCCTAAAAATGACAAATCTATAAGATTTTAATAAAAATAGCAAAATCGGTAAATGTCACTTAGAAAAATGGCAAATTCATAATTGATTCATGAATTAATGACAAAAAATAATATCTCACAATTTTAATTTTTCTTACAAAAAAAAAATGGTATGGTAATGAACAAATTGATGGAGATTCTATGCTTTTTAGAGCATCTCCAACTCACCTCTATATTTGCCTCTAAACTCTATTTTAGAGGCAAATTTGCTCCAACCCATCTCTATTCTCACCTCTAAAATAGAGATCTCTATTTTTTTCTCTATATATAGAGGTGAGAATAGAGAATCTCTATTTTTTCCTCTATAAATAGAGTTAAACTTTTTAGAGGAAAAAATAGAGGAATACATTGGAGTAGAAATAGAGAAAACTTACCTCTATTATAGAGATAGATCTAAAAATAGGGAAATACATTGGAGATGGTTTTATAGAAACAACCGTTTTAAATGCCTCAATTGACGTAAAGTCTGTCTTGGTGCAATTTAATTATGTTTCGTCATCATCTTTTCAAGTTCACGCACTAAGCTGAGTGTAAAAGATACGCCTTTGTTTTGTTTTGCATGTCACAGTAAGTAACTCTCCTCCTCAATTCTCAAAAATCCAAACTTTAATTTCTTCTAGAGAAGAGCCACTCTCTCCACTTCTTTCTTTGTCCAACTTTTTAGACAGATAAAAAAGTGGCGTAAGAGAGAGAGAGAGTTACAAGTTGTTGAAGGAGGAGAATTAGCGGTTCATATCAGTACGGAGAAAATTGTCAGTCATATGCTTTTTTTCTTTAAATTCTGAATTTGAGTGGGTGTGTGCTTTTAACCATTTTCGTGATTTATCGAAAAAAACGAAAATTTCTTGGTGTTTTGAGCTCAAGCTCAAGCTCTCTGCAAATTTTGCTGTTTCAAGTTCTTGCCTTTTGATTTCTTCAGTTTTGAAGTCCAGATAAAGTTGAAATCTTTGTTCTGTTTGATTGGTCTTCGTGAATTCCGGTGAAAGTTTCAAACTTTTGATTCAAATTCCGGGGAGGGATTAGGGTTTATGAAAGCAAAAGAAGAAACTTTGAAGAATTTGGGAGATGGAGTGGGTTTAAGACCAGTTGATCATTGTTCTAGCATTTGGAGTATGAAGATGAACATGAAGAACTTTCTTAAGAAACTTCATATCACGCCGAATCAATCAGATGATGCTGAAGGATCAGTTTCAACAACAACGACTAGGAGCAATCATCATAAGTCTATCGATGTATCAACATCATCATCACCGAGGTCTCATCACAGCAATAGCCCTGAAATCAAACCTTTTTCTGGTTTATCGAATTGGTTAAGCTCTGTTGGTCATAGAAAAAGCCCTAGTCCACCTAATTCTTTCAATGCCAAGAACAGAGCCGCCTTGGCTAATAATAACAAGGTCTTGGAACATGGTGATGATCATGTTGTTGTTAATGGGTCCGAAAGTGTGGACCAGCAGGATTTAGGTTCCAAGGATCCAGCTGTTGAAGAAGAGAATCAGATACAGCTGGCTTTAGAGTTAAGTGCTAGAGAAGATCCTGAGGCTACTCAGATTGAGGCTATTAAGCAATTCAGTTTAGGCTCTTGTGCTCCTGAGAACTCTCCAGCCGAACTCATCGCTTATCGGTACTGGGTAAGCATTTGATTCAATTGTTTTCTCTGCATAACAGAAACTCTTTAGTTACCCCCAAGAACTCATATCATTTTTTTTTGGTTTTGTTGCATTCACAGAATTACAATTGTCTTGGCTATGATGACAAGATCTTGGATGGTTTTTATGACTTGTATGGAGTGATGAATGTATCCTCATCAGAAAGAATACCTCCTTTGCTCGATCTTCAAGGGACACCTGTTTCAGACGGTGTCACATGGGAAGCTGTTCTTGTGAACAGAAGTGGGGATTCTAATCTGTTGAGGCTTGAACAGATGGCTCTTGATATTGCTGCTAAATCAAGATCAGTTTCTTCCTCTGGTTTTGTGAACAGTGAATTGGTAAGGAAACTGGCTATTTTGGTTGGAGATTACATGGGTGGACCAGTCGTGCACCCTGATAGTATGTTGAGAGCTTGGAGGAGTCTTAGCTATAGTCTGAAAGCAACTCTTGGAAGCATGGTTTTGCCACTTGGTTCTCTAACTATTGGTTTGGCTCGTCACCGTGCCTTGTTATTCAAAGTATGTACTTTTTCTTCTGAATCTCATCACGTTTTCAATTTTTAAGTTTATTTCATTTCTTATGTTTCTTTCTTTACATGAAATTTTGTAGGTATTGTGTGATAGTGTTGGTGTTCCTTGTCGGATAGTCAAAGGACAGCAATATACTGGTTCTGAAGATGTGGCAATGAACTTTATTAAGGCTGATGATGGCAGGTAATCATCACATTAATGTGTGGATTCAACATTTTCCTATCATTCATGTATAGGTTTATGTACTCTGGTATAGATAAAAATGTCAAGTATATGTGCTATGTTTAAATAGGCATTTGGACTTTGCTATGTTATCTGCACCTCCTGGAGCTAATATTGAGGCTTGATGAAAGAAACTTTGTGTTATATGCAATTCATTTGTGAATTTCAGGGAGTACATTGTTGATCTCATGGGAGATCCCGGTACGCTTATTCCAGCTGATGCAGCTGGACTACAAATAGACTATGATGAATCTGCCTACTCCGCTAGTCCTGGAGACAATGGTTCATTTCATGTAGCTTCTTCCAGCAATGGGATTGAGAGCTCATTTGAAGAGAATGCAGAGTTTCGAACAGCGGAAGATCATTCTAGTACCAAGAGTTCTGGGGTGAGAAACCAATCCGGAGGTGAAGGCAATCTCATTGTTCATCCAAATATTTCTAGGGAAGAAGTGAGAAACCAGAGGAATGTTGAAAAGGCTCCATTTCAAAATCTGTCTAGCAGGCCCATTCATTCTTTCACCCATATGAGATCACCTTCTTGGACTGAAGGTGTTAGCTCCCCAGCTGCGCAGAGGATGAAAGTCAAAGATGTTTCACAATATATGATTGATGCTGCCAAAGAGAATCCACGGTTAGCTCAGAAGCTTCATGATGTATTACTTGAAAGCGGAGTTGTAGCTCCTCCCAGTTTATTTTCCGAAGTTTATCCCCAGCAATTGGAGGCAACTGTTGAAAGCAAAAACTCGACTGAAGCCAAGAAAGAGAAAGGAAAAGATTTAGAGACAGCTCAGGAAGGAAGACACCAAAACGGTTTTGGTCCAGTGAGGTTTTTGCCTCCATTACCCAGAGTGCACTCTAAAACAAATGCACATGATCAACGTGATAATGGCAAAGTTGTAAGTCAGTCTGATTCTTCTCATTCTGAAGCATCTTCGACAGAATATGCCAGAACCGTTCCTGCTGCTGTAGCTGCAGCTGCTGTTGTTGCATCTTCAATGGTTGCTGCTGCTGCTGCCAAGTCTGCAAGCTCAGACTCCTCCCCCGCAGAACTTCCTGCTGCAGCTGCTGCCACGGCCACTGCTGCTGCAGTTGTGGCAACAGCTGCGGCCGTGTCCAGGCAACTTGAATTAGGCTCGAATAGCGACGGGGATGCTGGTTCTGGTGGGCATGATCCTCAAGGTAGTGGGGACTCTAATCATGAGCCAAATTCAGGAGGGGAAAGAATATCTGACAGATCTATTGACAACGAAAGTTCCAAGTCTGACTGTGATGATGTATCTGACTGTGAGATTTTGTGGGAAGAAATTACTTTGGGAGAACGTATTGGACTCGGTACCTGACTTATCATCATCTGTTATCTGCTTTGGTGTAACTACCTCTACAAAGGATTAACTACTTTACCTCTTTTAATACAGGATCTTATGGAGAAGTGTATCGAGGAGATTGGCACGGGACTGTGAGTATTATATTTTCTTTTCCAATTTATACTGTGAATTAGATTTCATGGATTTTATAACCATTAAGCTTACTTAATAGAACTGGACGAAGAAAGAGTTTAGCAATTCCTTAGTTTGAGTTCCATATTGTTGAAACTCTTGAACTTTAGGAAGTGGCTGTCAAGAAGTTCCTTGATCAAGATTTAACAGGAGAAGCATTGGAGGAATTCAGAAGTGAGGTACGAGTCTTTCTTCTAATCTTTTTTTTTTCCTGATTTTCCATGTTGATTAGTTCTATATCAAACCCTTCTTATATATTCTTGTGATGCAAGGTCCGAATCATGAAAAAGCTTAGACATCCCAACATTGTTCTCTTCATGGGAGCTGTGACTCGTCCACCGAATCTCTCAATTGTTACAGAGTTTCTTCCTAGGTAATACTATGATCTTTGCAATATTTAGTTACTTAGATACAATTCTTAAGGCTACAACGACATTCCATCTTCTTATTCATGCGGCGCATGCCTCTGTTTTTCTCTTCTTGAAATAAACTATTTTGTGACCTCTAAATGCTAAAATCTTCTTTGCATCAATGAGTGTTGTTCAAGTATTTGCTTGAAGTTCTACAATCAGGATGGTTTGAATAGGTTCAATCCGGTTTTGCTTCGTTTTTGGATCTTTACAGTACAGTTTTTTTTCCAAACTTGCGCAGAGGTAGCTTGTATAGGTTAATCCACCGGCCAAATAACCAATTAGACGAGAGGAGGCGTCTAAGAATGGCCCTTGATGCTGTATTACTCTTTTTCTCTTCATTCTTTCCTTCTTATCTTTATCACATGTTTGTAACTTCTTGATTCTTTTAGTAGAGTGTTGAGTAACATATTACTTATAAAAATTTCAGGCTCGTGGAATGAACTATTTGCACAGCTGTAATCCGATGATTGTCCATCGCGATCTAAAGTCCCCAAACCTTCTAGTTGACAAAAACTGGGTCGTGAAGGTCAGCATTCTCTCCATAGAATTTATTGTTTCTTACCAATTGGATAATGTTATATTGTATGTAACAGCTATTAGTTTGCATAACAAATACTGGATTTTCATATTTATCAGGTGTGTGATTTTGGGTTGTCTAGGATGAAACACAGTACTTACCTCTCTTCAAAGTCAACAGCAGGCACGGTAAGCTGCTAGAAGGAAGTTACCGTCTCTTAATCGTAATTGCCAGTTCATTATTCTAATTATGTGTTGGTCTTATACAGGCTGAATGGATGGCTCCAGAAGTGCTTAGAAACGAACCTGCTGATGAGAAGTACACTCTTAGATCTTTTGCTACTAAATATTCTTTTAAGTCTCTTTTTCAGAAGCAGGCCTAATGTCAAGAAAAAACAACACCTGAAACAGGTGCGATGTTTATAGCTACGGTGTGATTCTTTGGGAACTCTTTACGTTACAACAACCGTGGGGAAAGATGAACCCGATGCAAGTTGTTGGGGCAGTTGGGTTTCAGCACCGACGTCTTGACATTCCTGACTTTGTCGATCCAGCAATTGCAGATCTCATCAGTAAATGCTGGCAGACGTGAGTATGGAATATGTTTTCACTGTTTCAGTCAAAATGTGAAGTAGTAGTGCTTAAACAAAATCATTTCACTTGACCATGTCTCAGTTAACAGAGTATTGAATCTCTTATACTTGAAAATGGGATTTGGCTGATACATCTAGTGGTTTTGTGTGTGTTTATTAGGGATTCAAAGTTAAGGCCAAGTTTTGCAGAGATAATGGCTTCTCTAAAGCGGCTACAGAAACCTGTAACAGGTTCCAACATCCCAAGACCAGTCCCCAGTTCCTCTTCATTACCAACTGAACATGAACAAAAGGATTAATAACAAAAGAAGAAGACGACCAAAGTGGCAAACAAATTTTTGATGGATTCAATCTGTTTGAAGGAAGAAAAAAAAGCTACAAATGTTCCTTCTCTGCTACTTTTTGGCTCAGCTTCAGTGTTTCACACAGCTTGTGAATTTTGATTAAAACAAAATTCATGGAAGATATGACGATTGAAGAAGGTGAAGGATTGTGGTCGTGTGTTTTGTTGTGTTGTCTTGTTTGCGAGTGATGTTCATCAGTTCATGCGTAATATCCTCTGTTTTGTTTTCCAAAATTGAAACTGTACAAAGAGAGAAAGAAAAAGAATTATTTTTGCAATGATAAACAGTTGACAAAATCGTTGACCAAAAAAAAAATCATTGTCTTTATTCATCAGTCATCGCACGAACAAGATAAGGTTGTGCTATCTTTGAGATATAAATTATAATATAGTTTTTAAAAATTTGTTCTTTAGAAAAATCTCCGAAAATGGCGACTCTCTTCACTGCGACGGTTCCTTCTCACCACCGTTTCGTCTCTCCTTCCCAACATCCGAAACAGAGTCTTCCATCGCAGTCGCTAAGCGTCACTTTCACGGAGAATCCAGAACCAGCGGCGGCGGTCACATTGCAAGAGCAGCAAATGACGGATTGGATTGCTTCTCCGGTGACGCGACGGTTCGGAATCGGCGCCGGATTTACCTGGGCTGGGTTTTTAGCTGTCAGCGTTGTCTCCCAGCAGATGAAGAAGTCACGACTCGATATGTTTCAGGAAGACGATAACACAAGGTGGATACTCATCAGTACTTCAAAATTTTTCTCTTATTAAGTGAAGATGGAAATTTTAAGTGAATGTTAGCAATTAGGGATTTGGTAATACAAGAAAAGATACAGAGAAAGAATCATGACTTGAGTTAGTTTATTTGTTCTTGAATGCTTTTTGGTTTTGTTATCATCTTCACCAACTTGAAATGTTTTCGACACTTTTTGGATTTGGCAGAGGTTTAGAAAAGCAAGAAGAGATCGTCTTACCAAACGGCATAAGGTACATTCTTCATAACAAAGTTTGATTAAGTTTCATCACTTGAAAAGTTTTGAGAGTTTCTATTGACATTTCTAAACCCATAAGAAACGAAATCTGCATCATCGTCCTGTTAAAGTGTCTCTCTCATTGTCCCTTAGTTACAATTTTAGCACAATGCACATTTCCATAACATATGTTGATATACATTGTAGCATTCTCTATGGGCCTTGACTTGTCTTATTTTGATGCCATATTGTGAAATCCTTCCACTTTTTGAGGTGGTTCTGAATCTATATCTGCCCTGTGATAAGCCTGAAACTTCTTTGTATACTTTTACATTCATCCCAAACTCAATCTCTTGAAAAGTTCAATCTGGTTCTCATTTTGCTAATTGGACTTTTGGGAAAACCCTTGTAACATTTTGAGGTGGAATGCAATGTGTCTCAATCCATATCTGCTCTTACTGTGGCCTGAAACTTCTCGTCTATTCATTCAAAAACTCAAGCTCGTGTCTATGGAATTGAACCGTGCAGGTACTATGATCTACAAGTTGGAAGTGGAGCTACTCCAAGCTCAGGATACTTGGTAGTGTTTGATGTAAAGGGACAAGTACACGGAACCGAACAAGTGTTTGTCGACACATTTGGAGGCAAAGAAAAGTCACTAGCAATGGTAATGGACTCAAGACCGTATAGCAAGGGACTATGCCAAGGTATAGAGTATGTTCTCAGGTCAATGAAGGCTGGAGGTAAACGTAGAGTGATCATTCCACCGTCCTTAGGATTTGGAGACAAAAATGTCGAATTTGGACAGGGTTTGCAGATTCCTCCATCTGCAACACTTGACTATATCATCGAGGTTGATACAGTTTATTGTTTCCAAACTATTGTATAAAGAGATTATGGAGCAAATAATATAAAGTTTCACACATTTGTTTGCGTACACGTATTTTCGTGTATAAATGAGACTTTTCTCGTGTGACAAGTAAACGGCACGGTGTTTAGCTCGCAGCCACATAAATTCATGGGAGTCTTAGCCTTACACCAATGACCAAATGTTAAAGTAATGACTTTTATTTTTTATTCTCAATTTCTGTTAGTCGGAAACAATAAAAAGGATAACGAATCGTTTCTCTTCGATTGAAAGAATTTATCTTTGGAAGTTTTCTCTGCTTTTTGTTTTCGTGTGATAGAATGGGAACAGTACTCGATTCGCATTTTCTGGCTCTCACTGCAATTGTCACTGTAAGTTCTCTGCTAATCTAAATTCCTCTGTTCATTTTCTTGGTTGTGCGATAGTTTCTCGGGAAACTACGAGTTAGATCTCTTTGTTGATGTCTGATTTCGCAAATCTCTGTTTGCCATAATTTGTAGGTGGTTTACCAATTCATATTCTTCGTAATCACAGCTCTTTTCAAATTTGATCAAGTCACTGACTTTGCTGGTACGATCAATTTCATTCCTTAATTCCCAGTAGCTTCGTTTTCTGTTATGTAGGAGTAATTATATTAATTAGCTCTGTATGTTCAGGTAGCACAAACTTCGTCATACTTGCTGTGTTAACACTTGTTCTTAAAGCCACTTGGCATTTTCGGCAGGTAAGTCTCTGCTCTTCTTCCTTGTCTTATTTTTCTCTCTGTTTTTTTTTTCATTGTTTTGGTGTTTTTGAGTTTCTTCTTCTGTTTACTGAGACTCTTTTCTCCTCGTAGATAGTCTTGACTTTGCTAGTTGTGGTATGGGGTCTTCGCTTGGGGATATTCCTTCTAATGAGGTACCGCACAATTCTTTTTTATTTCTTTTCTGAGCATTGTAGCTTGACTCTCTTGTTGTTTTAGGATCTTGCAATGGGGCGAAGATCGACGCTTTGATGAACAGCGTGGAAATATAGTGAGACTAATCATTTTCTGGACTCTTCAGGTGATTTTTTTATACTATTATCTTCTTTAGCCTATTTGGAATTCATGCTTGTGATCTGAAACTAGAGTTCTTGTTTTTATTTATGGTAGGCCGTGTGGGTTTGGACGGTTAGCTTACCTCTAACAGTTGTTAATGCAAGTGATGGTGGAGGATCTCTTAAACCCGCAGATGTTATCGGTTGGACTATGTGGGTTTTCGGTTTCTTGATTGAAGCTGCAGCTGATCAACAGAAGCTTTCTTTTAAAAACTCTCCGGAAAACAGAGGAAAATGGTGTGATGTTGGTGTGTGGAAGTATTCAAGACATCCAAACTACTTCGGTGAGGTTAGTATTTCGATATATAATGACTTCTTAATCTTTGGCATTAATGGTTGTGATCGTTCATTGCTGTGTATATCTTTGTGGCTTTGTATGTCATCAGATGTTACTGTGGTGGGGGATCTTTGTGGCTGCATCGCCTGTGCTTGAAGGTGCGGAGTATCTTGTCATATTCGGACCACTCTTTCTCACTTTGCTACTTCTGTTCGTCAGTGGCATACCATTACTCGAGGTTCTCCCCCGTTCTCTCCCTTTCTACTTAGACAATTTCTGAATCACATATGGCTGATTTGAATATAAACAGGCATCGGCTGACAAAAAACATGGAAACTCAGGAGCTTACAGATTCTACAAGAAGACAACAAGGTTTTAACGATATGAACTTGCAATATATACGGTTTAATAAGCCTTGAAGATGTGTTGTATATACAGCTAACTTGTTTGTACCTTCGTTTCGATCTTTAGTCCTCTGATTCTGTTCCCGAGAGGAGTGTATGGGAACTTACCAGGATGGTGCAAGACGGTCTTTCTCTTCGAGTTTCCATTTTACAGCCGAAATCTCCCTCAAGAGGTGGCTGTTTAGTAAGCGCTTATATAATTTCAGTTTCATCTTTTATATCTTATTTTAGTGTTTGATGAGTTTGGCTTCTCTTTGTTGTATGTGTGCAAGAAAGTTAGGGTAGACTCCAAGAACAGCAAAGAGAAAGAAGTAAAAGATGACTGATTTGTGAAACTAATATTGAGTTATTGTTTTCTACAACACTCTTTAATAAAATTGGGTAAAAAATTTGCTTGTAAGAAACTGAATTTGTTTGAAATATTGGACAAGTCTTGACAGAACAGGATCTCAGTTGTGATTGGTCATTTTTTCATGTGATTATTATATGATTAAAATTCATGTACTCAACCAAGTCAAAATTTTCACGAATAAACATGCAAATAAAAACATCATCAAAGTGTTCCAAAACAATAAACGAAAAAATACATTAGTTATTATTTACTTGAAACAACAGTTGGAGGAAGAGCTTAACGGTTGATGAGTAGCAGTGACTTCGTGTATATTCACAATTTCTTTACCAACGGGAAGAACCGTACCGTTACCGTTACCGTTCATATGAGCCGTCGCAGCGCCGTTGGATTTGTTGTCCGAAGCTATCCTCTGAGTCACAACCTCATGTATCCGTCCGATCATCACTAGAAACGCTTCTTCGACGTTAACGTTCTCTAAAGCCGAAGTCTCGAGGAAGAAGAGACCTTCTGATTCAGCTAGAGTCTTACCCTCGTCTTCTTCGACTTCTCTAGATTGTCGGAGATCGGATTTGTTGCCGACGAGGACAACCACGGTTTCGGGATTGGCAAAGTCCCTAAGCTCAAAAAGCCATTTCTTTATGTTGACGAAAGTTGTTCGTCTTGTGATGTCGTAAATCAGTAATGCCCCTAATGCTCCACGGTAGTACGAACTTGTAATTGCTCTAAATCTTTACTCATAAAAAAACATAAAAATTACAAGGATTAGGAGATTAAATATAATAACATTCCATAAATTCATAGCTCCAACAAAAAATACCTTATAATTATTTATTTAACTTAATAAAAGTAGCTAGTTCACTCTTCTTAGTTTCATTACATAATTTCTTTCCTCCATTTTGAAAAATGATATTTTGATGATTAGGTTAAAATGAAAGCTCATGGAAACATACAAAATAAAGAACAGAGTATAGTCACGAGGTCACAAAATTATGTCCGTGAGTTTGAATGATTTATAGTACCTTTCTTGGCCGGCGGTGTCCCAAATCTGAGCCTTGATGATTTTATCTCCGACGTGAACATTCCGGTAAGCAAACTCAACTCCGATGGTTGGTTTAGAGTCAAACCGGAACTCGTCTTTAGAAAATCTAGACAAGAGGTTTGATTTCCCGACGGCTGAGTCTCCGATCAACACCGCCTTGAACAAGTAGTCGCACTCTTCCTCGTACGAATCTTCTGCCATTTTGTCTCAAGAATAGAAATCTCAAGTTCTTCTTTTGTTTAGGATTCTTTTTTCCGATGATATATGTTACGACGAAATAGGGGAAAGGTGAAGAAGTAAGAAGAAAGGAAAAAGACAGTTCCTCCGCTGAATTTGGCTTTTGGTCGAAAATCGGATTTAATAGTATTTTTTAGTCAAATCACTATATTATTCTTTGAGAATATTATATAGTCAAATCAGTATTTTATATGATGTGAGAAAAAAAGAGGTAATTTTATTTGTTGAGAATAGTATGTTACTTACGTATTGCTCACTCGTATTTAGAAGGAAAAAAAAGGAAGAAAAAACTTGGGGTGAGAAAGTGATATATTAGGATGAGATAAATAAGGCGTCCAAGAAATAATATTTACATGAATCAATAGAATCTTTATTTTTTAATAAAACAAGGATTTGGGGCTATATATCTTAATTATTAATTTGTTGATTAGGTTTGAAGATTAATAAGAGAGGGGTTCGTAATCATAATCATAAGTGCAGCTGTTGGCATGTGAAATCATGGATTACAACATAATGATAACGTTATCCTCCTTTTATGATTGTTTTTTTTTGTTGGGATTACCAAATTAAAAGAAAGCAAACATAAATATTTACAAGACCATGATATCGTAATTACTGCATCTGCTTCATTTTTTTCCTCCCTTAAATGTTTAATTTTGTTGTGTTGATTGGAAAATACTATCGGATTAGATAACATGATGTTCAATAATCAATCATACCTACCTATTTGCTTTTCTCTTTGACATTTTTCACCTAAGTTCACACGCTTTTTAAGTTGTTTTCCTTTATACCAATTGTTTCTTGACGCGAATTATTGTTTGAACACTGGAATTTTTACATGATAACCACTTATCAAGATGAAAATGAATCTGAGTCAGATTTTATTTTCATACTCGAATGAATATATTACGATTAGGGAGTATTTAGAAAATATGATCCACTGATTTTGCTAATTCAAAAAAAAATCACGGATCATTAGTAATATATATCCCAGGCGCTACGTCGTGAACTAAAATTACGTGAAGTTAAATACAATGGAGTGGAAGGGGCAAAGATAAGTGCATGCAGCAATATTAAATGGTGAGATGGAGATAAGTTTAGAATTTGTACCATTAAAAGAACTGTGAAAGGTGACATTTCAAGTGTTTCATATATAGCCCGACCTTATGTAACCGTGTGTGTGGGTATATAAATGCTCCATGCAGTAGTGGCGGATCCAGGAATTAATTTTATCCGGGGCAATAATATTAAATAAATAAAAAATCTAATTTTCGTAACAAAAATGAATCTTCTAAGTAAGTTAAAGCATTTGATTAATTTTTTCAAGTTCACGAAAGTGATTTAAAGTGATTTTATTAATGAAATATGGGCTTATTTACAAAGAAAAGAAAAAAAAAAATTAGGTTTTTGTATTGTATTTGTATTATATGTACTTTAAATTATAATATTGTACAACACAAAACCTTTGTATAAGAAGAAAAGAGAGTAATTGGGGGCATTAAACAAGTATTTGACAGGGGCATAATTAAAAGCTCTTGTAAATAACACCAACTTTGAAAAATTTACCCGTGGCAAGTGCCCCCCTTATTCATAACGTACGTCCTCCATGCCTCGATCAATCGATCACGCACGCCATGTCTTAAGGTAATAACTAACTAATACTACTATTTGTGGTGAGATAGATATCTGAGTCAGTTTTACTTTATAATCTTAATTCATTTTTAGTTCTTAAACATACAAGAAAAAAAAAGTGTTGTGCCTTGTAGAGACACAATTTCAGTTGACAAGAAAAAGAAAAACTCTCAAGCAACTAAAAAAAGGTGAATAGAATTCTCATTGGGCTCAACTCAAATCTGGGCCTTTAAAAAGCCCGTATTTCAAACCGAATTAGATTCCCATCTTTCAGGCCACATAAAAGAAGAATCAGATTCCACACTAATAGTCAAATAGCGTCTTTGTTGACCAGTTCCAGTAAAAAACAGTGGTACAGGAGACGTATAAACAAATCTCAAATATCAAAATACAATTTTATGAAATAACCATTTCATTATCCAGTCTTTTATAATTATTAAAACCGATTATTTAGTGAAAGTCTTTTCTCCGATAAAGGCCATGAATGGTTGTCAGTTTTTAAATAGTTTTTAGATTATAGATTTTGGTTTTTGGATTTTAGATTTTTGTTTTTGGTTTATGGATTTTGCAAAAATTTAAGAAATAAAAAAATTCAAAAAATGAAAAAGAATGTTACGGTAAGAATTTGTTTAGAAAAGGTGAAAAACTCAAATAAAGTAGATTTTGGATTGTCTTTGAAAATTGTCAAAATCTTGCAAAAACTAGATTCCCTATTTTTTAGGAAAACTATTTTCACAAAATCTTGAATGGGTGAAAAATGAGTTTTTCAAAAACAAAAACCAAAAACCATTACAAAAACTAGTAAACATTCAAGGCCAAAATTTCATCCAAATTCAGATCCAATTATCCAATTCATTATAAATAATTGATAATGAACTATAATATACAATGCCAAAAAAAAACACAAAGAAACAAGTTTAAAATTTGCACATCGAATGCTTACATATAAAGTAAAGCATAATTGCAGAGCAATTGTTTGTTGTCAAGCCTTTAAAGTTTAAAATGTAAATTTCATAACGGAAAAAAAAAAGGAGAAAATCGGAACCCTAAGTGTTCGCGACGGATCCCTTAACGAGCTCAGGCGACGACATCATCTTCTGAAACTCCTCGAAGTTAACATTTCCATCGCCGTCAGCATCAACATGACCGATCATTCTCACACAATCTTCAACAGAGCAAGACATACCAAGACGATTCAGAACCTTATGGATCTCAGAGGACGAGATCAAACCGTTTTTATTCTGATCGTAGAGATCGAACGCTTCACGTATCTCCGCGGCAGAGGAAGATGATCGGCAAATGGTAGCGAACTCTTCCTGATTGATGAAACCGTCGCGATCGATGTCGATTTCGTCTAATACACGGTTTAGCTCCTCCTCTGTGTACGACGTTCCCATGGATTTGAAAACGTTTCCGAGCTCTGAAACAGAGATTTTCCCGTCGCCGTTGGAATCGAATTGGTCGAAGACTTTCTTTAGCTCCATATCCGTTGATGGTGTTGTGGATTTGTTGGTGGATTCAGGATTTGTGTTCGCCATTTTTGTTTGTGATTTGAGTTTCTTGATTTTGGACGTTTTTATAGAGTTTTTGTGATGATTTGCTTTCGATTGGTGGATGCTTTTTTTTTTTAATGATGCTTTTTCTATGGCTACCCTTCATGGCTTTTTTATTGATTCTAAATATATTTATTCCTATTTTTATTAGCTAATAATATTGATTTTTTTTTGTCTAGCTTATATATATTTGTGAATGGGTTATTTTCCTTCACTAATTACTCTTGTTATCAATTATTAGTTTTATTTTGTAATAAGTATTTTGTTATTAATAGATTGATCAATGGTATAGAGTACCATCAACTAGTAAAATTATGTAAAATGTTATGGAGAAAATTTTGAAAAAAAAACAGTGAATTAACAACAAAATTTACTATTTGATTATTACATAGTGCGTATCAAAAATAAGGAATATGTTCTTAGTTACACGTCAATGTCTGCCTCAATGGAGGAATCTGAAACTACAAGTGGGAGAAAAAGACATTCCCCGTATAAGATATTAGGGAAGAGTAATATGAATGTGACATCTGAATTATATATCGAAAACGATTCCGAATATGAAGATAGTGTTGAACATGATACTTTTATGAACATATTCCGGAAATAATTAAAGTATCTATACAAAACAAGAAATTATATGTACCAATGTACGGTTCCTTCTTCCATGCAGATTTTGCTGCTTGTGTAAGAATATATATTTTTGACGTATAAAATAATTATAAGCCCCCTATATACATATGTAGTAGAAGTATACATGTGTTACTAGAGAAATAGTAATTGAAATTATGCGGAGGTAGAAGGATTCTGAGAGTGAGTCAAATGATGTCGGAGAGTAAGGACTCCTTTTTTGAAACAAATGCAGGCGATGATGAGTAATATAACGCAGCCACAGGCACAAAGAAACACATCAACAACATCGGCCATAAAATAAAATTTGGTGTCTTTGAAGATAGCTAATAGTACCAATCTCACATTCCCGAAAATACCAACTCCGATTATCGACAGAGTTGTTAATCCAAGTATCACAAACCCAGCCGGAATTACCAACTTTAATACATCTCCCCAAAAATTCGAGGCCATTTTCTTGACCCTTCTTTTTTTCTTTTCTTTTTTTCTCCTGATTTGTTTTGGTCTCTTTGATGAAGAAGGCTTTGATCTATATGTACGTATATGTTAATGGTGTGACGCCCAATTACTTCGAGAGTTTATTGTTTGCTTCACGATGGTGATTAAGTCATACTCGCATGGTGATAATTAATTAATATTTAGTAATCTATGTACCATGGATTTTGCTAGAGCGTTTCCAATTTCGTTTTCTTTGTGGGTTTTAATAATTTTGAAATTATAGTCTAATAGGTACAAATATTTGAGCTAACGAAACCGAGTTCCATGTGATTTTTGTTTCTTAACTAAATATCTATTTTAATTTAATGATTAAATAACAAGTTTGTTGATGGGTATATTCGGGTTTTAACTTTTAATAGTGTTTATACCCTTGTAATTTATTCCTTAATCCGGTTTTTCGCTTTATTTTAAGTGCGGTTAAACAAATTGGACATCACTAATATTATTTAGGCTAATGCATGTTCTTTGTAATAAACCCATGAAATCTTAAGTGATTAGTTTTAGATCATCGAACAAGAACAAATAAGACATTAAAAAAACACTAAACTCCGTTATTAAGCAATCATGAGAAGAAACCTCGTACTAAATAATCAATCATGTAAACTCATACATTAAAAGTGAGATTTTAGTCAACGGCCGCGGTGGGGGCAAAACGTGACGACGTAGTTAGCTTTAGAACACGTAGCAATGCTAGTTGGGTCGTCATAGGCGTATGAGTAAGCCTTAGGGCAAGCTACCTTGAAGATCTTAGAGTAAGCCGTAGGCTTGCATGACTGTGGGTTACCGAACAAGCCGGTACAACAATAGCGTGGTGAGTTAAAGGCAGAGCATGCGCTTTTACAGGCTACTACCTGTTTCCCGTCACGTGAACGGACTTGTAGACCAACCGGGCACATCCGGTTCAGGTCGCTTACGCAACCAGCGTAGGTACACTTTCCCGTACCCTTCACCGGCATTATCGACATCGCCAAGTTATATCTGCCATGACGATTAATTAACAATAAAATTAGTATTTTGTATGTAAACAAATATGTTTGAATTATTAATAAAGTATGCTTATATTTATATTAAATACGCCTAAACAGTCATGAATATATAAATTTTAATTTATAAATCAATTTCATAGGCTGGTTTGACTCATGAACATTAACCGGTTTCCATTTGGTTCGGTTTAGATCGTCTTTTATTCACCCCTAATTAATGTTGCCGGCCAAATTAAATCGATAATATTATTGATGATGCGATTAAATAGTTATTTTCTTATAACTGAACCGACCATAAAACCAGAAGTTAAGCCGAATCGAATTAATTGTTTTTTGGTTTAAGTGAGACATACCCATCAACGAGGCTGACGTCATAAAAGTCCATGTCATGACCGAGGGTGATCTCGGCAAGAGTAGCCGGAGGTACACCGCCAGCTCCGTTACAGAGGAAAGAACCGCCACAGTCTCCGGTGGCGCAGCGACCACGGCCAGATCTGTCGAAGGAGCAACCGTGGCGTCCCCAGAAGCGACCGGACCAGAGCGGTGGAAGTTGAAGAGTGTAAGCTCTGTTCGGCGACAGTTTAAATCCGCCGCCGGCGAGTAATGACTGGCCGGAGCTAGGCTGGATCCCAGGCCAGACTGTGTACGTGCACTTGTTGTAGAATATTACCGTTGAAGCTTATTCATCACAAATAAAAGTAAAGTTAGTTAACCACTTAATTAACCCCAAAGTAATGTCATTAGTTTCGTTTGATGTAATTAATATATGAATTTAAGTTTAAACGAACTCAGATTAAACATAGAGTAAGAGGAATAATACCTGAAGCGTGGGAGAGAAGAAGAAGGAGAGGGAGGAGAAAGAGAGATATTGAAGAAGCCATTGGTGGTTCTTAATTCTTCTAATTTCAACTTGAGTGTAGAAGAGTAAGACTGTGAAGCAGCTTCACATTTCTCATTGCTTTTGGAGATTTTCTCTTTATAGAGAAGAAAAAGCAGTGTCCTGCTTTTATTTTCTTTTATTATGGTTAATAAAAATAATATAAAAAAGAAAGAGTCAAGTTTGAAACTTGAAAGTAGATAATTTATCAACGATTAATATTACTATCCTATTATGATTAGTAACTATAAAATGAATTATTCGTGGTTAGTAATTACTAGTACATTTTTCTTCTTTTACCACCTAACTAGTAACTATCAAATATCAATCTAATTCATCTGTTCTAGAGAAAATTTGTACATTAGTTATTTACATTGTTGTTGAATGCAACGATGTTAAAAAAAGAATATGAGTTTTGGCCTTTTGGGGAATGTGGTAAACTTATCTCACCTCTCGAGGCTGTCAGAAGACTAAAGACCTTAAGTCGAACCTTTGTAATTATATGACTCGTAAGTCAATTATTTGCAAATTATACATAATACTATTTACATTTTCTTCTCCTCGTTGGTTTAATCACCAAGACGTATAGGTGGTCTCTAAGCAACACATTCTAATAGTTAAAACTCTTTTATACAGTTCAATAATGCCAAACTATATATATCAATTTAAATTTAATTTTATGATTCACTGATGGGTGTCTTCAACAAGATCGTTTAAATATTGCCATTCCTACACTAAAATTCTCGAAATGGGGACTAGTTCAAAACTAAAATTCACGTGAGGTTTTGGATTTACATGACAGGCAAAGGAATCTAGCTATATGAAGCAGAGTGAGATTTAAATCTAGACTTTTCTTTTTACAAAAATACAAAAATTGTAAGAAAAATAAATTCAAAAACTTCAATATCATCACAATCGACATAAAAAGATGCTCCACGAAAACGGTGTTTGAAGGCTCTCTGAATAAAGTAAGGAATATGGACCGAATCGATAAGAAATAGTACAGTAGCATCATAAATCTGAAGAGTTATGTGGAATAGTCATGTTCTAATGTCAAAACAAAGCTATGCACGTGATACTAAAACAGGAGATTAAGTTTTTAATTTGTTGATAGTGATGTTCTTTGTTTTTAAAACTTCAATATCATCAAAGGGGTTCATTGAAAAAAATCCAACGTTTGATGTATAGTTGATATATCTTCAGGATATTAGTGACTACAAAATTTATTTGGATCAGAAAATATGAGAGGGATCAAGTCAACACAAAGATCTAAAACGGATATTTATTAAGAGTAACAAATATTTTGTTTGACCAAAGGAGCGACGTTGTAGTTGAGGTAACCGATCGATAACTTATTATTTCTGAAAACATGTTATCAAACATACTGATCGATATTTAATTATGACAATCTAAAAAGCTTGCCGAAAGAAAAGGAAACAAAAACAATCTAAAAAGCTTGATAACTGATTATCAAAACAAAAGAGCTTGATAACATGATCATGCCAGCTTTGCTTTGATATTTTCAATAATCGGTGGTGCGATAGTTTCGTATGACTTCTGGGTCGGATGGGCAACATCCCAAAACACAAAACGAGACGCATCCGGGCACGGTACTAAGGCCGTTGGCGTACAACAACAAGCATCAGCTGCATCAATGAACCCTACATTTTTTGAAAATATAATTGTAAATGTAACGTTATATATAAACATATGAGTAGTCTTCTGGAATCATGAATCATATCATTACCTGAAGCTTGAGGGTTACTGATGAGACCATAAAGAGGATTGTACATATCTACGTATACGAATTTGGCACCCGGAAATGTTGCACCAAGATTGTCAATGTCGGCAGATAATTGTTGGTTGAACATAGCAGCTGCTTGATTTGAGAAGAGTTCACATATTACTCTATCTAAGGTTCTTGCTCCTGGTAAACAACCTAGCGGTAATGTTCCCATAACCGCAAATTTTCTAGCACCCAGATCATATAAACTCTTCAAAAAAAAAAAAAAAGGAAACAATAGAATATGTTAGATACAATTTGACCAAAAATTAATCACTTACTATGTTCTATATGTATATTTAAGATTTTCTAATTTTGTACCTTTATGAGATCACGAGTCCAAGTGACCAATTGATCATTGTAGGCTGGAAGAGTGTATTGTAATCTTCTAGCCCCCGTAGTAAAATAAGTGATAGCAATATCGTTATTTCCGGCGGAGATTAGGTAAACAGCATTTGATATAATTGCATTTGCTTGTTCTTGATTTCCTACTACACCATTTAGTCTGGTGATGTAGTTTTGGAAGTCTGTGACCTGGTCTGACACCCATATACTTCCCTAATCACACCAAAATATAATCTATTAAAATTTGCTATAGATCAAAAAAAAGTTGTTATAATTTTTTGGACAAACTAAGAAAAATTTACAGTTGTTCTTGCAGTGATTGCATCAAGTCCAGATCCACCGGATGCAAAACAAACACCAGTCGTTAGATCATTGTCAGAGAGGTATGGATCACGATATGCTGGTAAGATATTCTTCAATCCCAAACCTTCAGCTGCAAACAAAGACTTTGCTATTAGATAATATTTTTGTCATAGTATTAAAAACATTTAATTCATCCGTTACAAATATATCAACAAGTAGAGATCAATACACATACCAATCATATCAGAAAAAACTCTCCCATTTCCAAATCTCCCGGTAGCTACTCCACCTATAAAGTCTCTACCGTATGGATAAAAATTGACTTTAGAAAAACTTGGAAGAAGATTATTGTTGCCTGTGTCAAGTATTGAGTCTCCAAAAGCGAAAAGTGCCGAAACCGTTGAATTGCCATATGATTGTTGTGCATTACCAACATAAAATAGACTAACCAAAGAGAATGCTAATAGCATTTTGGAGAACATAAGGCAATTCATATTTTTGAAATTGGTTTTGGATAGGAGTTTTGGTGAATATCAGAATATGAAAGTTGATACAAGATATATCTGATCTCAGGGAAAGAGTAGGTATTTATACGGGTTTATTACAATTTACAAGATAACTATCAAAGAAATCAAATATTCATCATATTCAACGAATTGATTGTTCATAAATGTTATCATTGGTATTCAGATTTTGGAAAAAAACTGCAATTCAAAGAATTTTATATAGTAATTAGCGCGAATTAAGTATGAATGTAAATGAGAAAGCTAATATCTCTCTCTAGTCAAGCAATGGATCTGTATTTGGTCTCCTTTTTTCTTCTTCTTTTTTGGCATTTGGTCTGTATTTTTCCTTTTTTTTTTTTGGTATTTGGTTTGTATTTGGTCTGTAGTTTCCTTTTTTTGATATTTGGTCTGTATACTCCTTTTTTGCGGGTATTTTTTTGGAAAATTGAAAATAAAATATATTTTTTGTGATTTGTCCATATATATATTTTGTTAATTAGAATTGTCCAACTATGATGATTTACATTAATTGAAAACCTATTATTATACCCTTAATTATGTGAGTTTTAAAATTGTCTTTTCAAAATAAATTCTTATTTTCAAATTTTAAAAAATGGGTTTAATGTTAGACCCTCTGCTTCACCAAGAGGGTTCACATTAGGTTTATTTTTATATAACGGAGTCCACATGCTTGAGGACTGGATCTGACTTACTTGCACAGCAATGTATGACTCTGTTTTCTCTTCTTTAGGAACTTAAGAGGACGTGAAGGTTACTAGTCCCCATAATCAATTATGTGCATTAGCTACATATTAAGTGAGGCTTGAAGAATTAGTTTCTCGATCTTGTAATTTTGTGATCAAGTTCATTGTCTTTTGTTAAAGAATACTGTAAGAAAATAAACAAGTAATTTTCTTAGAATCAAAATTAGCATATGATTACTTAAATACACAATTACATTTCGAACATGTCAATTTTCAACGCATAATTCATCAATTGGAGTGTTACCTAGTGTACAAAATAAAATTCTGATCCGTCAAAATACTTAGAAAAAAGGAAGAAGAAAAAACTAGGAAAATGAGGTGAAGTATTGAAAAAGTGATGATTAAAGTTAGATATAGATTATACACATTCATTGCCAAAAATTCAGTGGGTATTGTTTATTGTCTCAAAGTTACTTTTGAATTTTAATGTCTCTTAGTATAGACGTTATTAAATCTCATATAAAACAAAACAGTTTATATCTAATAGATATAGGTTGAAAGTTGCTTCTGTAAACAATTGATACGGTTATCATCCTCGTCAATCGTCATCGAAAGATCATATGGTTTATTTATTTCTATATTAAACCAACTCGATTCTGTTGAAAAGTTCAACGGCTATAATAATCATAACTGTGCCCTGATATATGGATCTTGGTGGTCCAATTGAAGTATATATATAAAAAAAAAACGTGTCAATAATTTGCGAATATATACGTGTCAAAATCTGATGAGGTTAGTGTATTAATGATTAGTAATAAAAATAGATTTGATTGGATAGTACTCCATTAGATAAGATGTGATAGGCCCCCAAAAATCTGATAAGAAATACAGATGGGTCCAATTTTCGAGTTCGGTATAACGAACAATTTATACCTGTTTGTGAAACGTGTATCCCGTGACACATATCAATGGGTCTATCAGTAAAATCATTTCTGTCTATAGACACAAAACAAGGTAATGTAAATTACGCACGTACTAAAACTAGAAAAAGAAAAATGTTTTCAGAGGAAAAGAATAAAAACAGAAATTATGGATCAATCTTTGTGTACTGCTTCTTCTGCTTTGTACTCGTTGTGGAAGTCGCAAGATTCGCAAAACCTTATTACAACCTTCAAAACCTAATGGAGACAGAAGCAATAGTAGAAGAAGGATTCTTGGACGTGGAGAACTCAGGGAGACTTCCATGTCACTCCTCGGGATCTGGCTCTGTCTCTGTTCCTGCTCGGAGTCACCAGAAGCTCTCGGATACAATAAGGCAAGAGTCGAGAGCTCGTCCCCCAACTTCGTACTGCTTGAAGATCCAGTCTTTTGCCACTCTGTCGAAACTGGTCAAAGACAACGGTGACATGTATGAGTCACGTCCGTTCTCCGTCGGTGGATACAATTGGTACGTATACGTTTTGTTGAGAAGCTCATATCTTTCCATGTCTATATATAATTGAATTGACGGTCTTTTTGATGCTTAAAATGTTATAAGGACTTTCCTAATCTACCCGAACGAGAACAAGCCACAGGGCTCGGGTGGATATGTTTCGCTTTACGTAAGAATCGATAACTCAAGCCTCATCGCCAATCCAGAAGATGTTTATGCAGAGATCACGTTCCTCGTCTATAAAAGCACTATAGACAAGTACCATATACTCAAGGGTACTGATTGACATAGATATATATATATCTTTTGTAGTTTCTTCACACTAATTAGTTTTGATCGGTTTGCAGAGACTAAGGCGTGGTTCCTTTTCTTCCGGAGGAAGAAACTGGTGACCTCTCTCTCTCTCCCTGTATGTATATATATAGAGAGAGATATACAAGACATGATAATTTATGTTAAGGGTGTGTACTTGTGTAGGGTATTGAAAGTGTATCCAAATTAATGGAGTTGGATCTGGAACAGGTAATTCGTTGTCACTCTTTTTGTTGAGTGCGTCAAATGAAAACAGGTTACGTGGAAGCCAAGTTACGAGTTATTGACCAGAGCCGATCCAACCATGTGGAGAAACAAGGTTGGTGCCTTGGTTTGATATCTCCTTTCTCATCCTCTACTACTAGATTATTTAGGCTTATTTGAAACAGAAAAATTGTTAAATTTAACTTTTGTTTTGTTCTTATAGTGCGGGGATGGCCCAATGCAACAGAAAATGGATGGGGTTTCGAGAAGTTTATACCTCTTGCAGATATCAAAGACACATCCAAAGGTTTCCTTGTCAATGATAGCCTCAAACTTCAAATCGAGATCTTGTCCTTCTCGAAAACCGACTCTCTCTAAGTTTAAAATGATCCCACATTCACTTCTTTGTTGCTTTTTTTCCTCCTTTTTTTTAAAACCGGAGATAGTAATTTAGTCAAAAACCAGATTAGTCTCCGCTATGGCCAAGTGGATTACTACAATTACAGTACTTTGGGTCACTGCTTTTGTTTCTGTTCAATAATGAAAAGTTTGAGCTTTTCTATGTCAAACTCGATCAATCGGAATGCAAATGTCACAAGAAATACTAAACTGGATAGGTTTTGATGATATATGTACATTACCCAAATTTATTTTCAAATGGTTCAATTATAAAAAGAAGATGCCATAATCAGTTTCTTGGAGATGTACAAACCCCACTTCTGCTCACCACTTAAGCTCCTAAGTAGCTTTGACTTCCACTTCTGCTAATCCTCTTCAAGAAGCTGATGAATTCATCCTTCGCCTTCTCCACTGCGTCCAGTTCCATGTTTCATAGTGTGATATTCATAGTTAGATAAAAGGTATAAAAAAACTCATTAGGAAGAAATTAATAATTATGTTGAATAACGACACAATGTAAATCTTCTATTTATAGGCAATGTTCAAGAAAGCGCAAGGCGTTATGCAGACGGTGATCCAATACCTAGCGTCTAGAACGCTTAGTCGAGGTCTAAACGATTTAAGCGGTTTAGTTATTTATAACATAAAACATTAAAAATATGATATGATACATAAAAATTATATAAAATATCTATTAGAAAAATAAAATATAAACTCGTAAACATTTACTTAATTTGTATTAAAATATATATAAATGTTTTTAACTATGTCTATGAAAATAAAACAAAGTTAAAATTTGAGAAAATACACTAAAACGAGGTTTATGTGATTTTAAGCGGTATAAGCAGTTGTCTAGGCGTCGCGTCTAGACCGATTTTTAGAACACTTATACGAGAAATATTAAATAAATTATAAGTCATCTATTTTAATTTCTATAGTTTTAGCATTTTAATCTAGTTGATGACAGAATAATTTTCCAATAGATGAATTCAATACAGAGAAATTCTTTATATATAAGAAAATATTCTAAAATTTAAAATATATATTTATCGTAAGTAGATTTAATACTGTGTTTGGTTATTGATTTTAGAAAATTAAGAATATGGAGGATTAAAATAGTATGAATTTAAAAAATAAAAAATAATAAAATGTAAGAAAAATTGTGGGCTCGCCACATCAGCAAAAATAATATTTCTGGAATATTTGTGTTCTATAAATTTTATTGATATCAAAACTTCAATCGAAAATAGTTTTTTAGAAATATTATGAAAGACCTTAGCCCCTTATGATTTTGACATTCAACTTAGGATTTTTGCTTATACATTTTTGAAGAGTTTAACATTTGGAATCGCTTATGAGGCCTATCATCCGGACAAGGACCGATGCAAATACAATGATTAAGCTGACATTCGGCCCTTCTTGTAGGTGGATAATATTTGAGGCATCTGAGTCGACAATGGTCGCACCCATTGCCACCAACATCATAATCATTACATCCCATATTCTGCTCAACTATATCAAACAAAATTATTTTCGTCAGATAACAAAAAATATATTAAGATTTAGGAGATATCAATACACTGAACTAATATATATATGATAGATTTGCCAATGAATGAATCTAGCCAAAACTAAAAATTACAGTAGAGTTACGTGAACATATTTGAAGTAAACCACAAAGGTAAATGTATAACTAAGGCTAACACCACGATGAATTACAAGTCTACAATATTGGATACATATGCCAACTCATTACTCTATGAATAAACATTAAAGATAAATGCATACCTAAAGCAAATATCACAAGAAAGATGATGGGGACGACAAGTGAAGAAGTTGCCTTGGCCATTTTTGTTTCTTGTTTTCTTTTCTCTTAAATTTAGGTAGTCGTATACTGAATACTGAATATTGATAAACGTGAAAAATTAAGAGACTACAGAAAGGAGATTTATAGAATAATACGTACGGATTTATAGAAAGGAGATCTGTTTGATTTTATAAATCTTTTATTTATAGACACGTATATGAATCTCTTACTTGTAAATATATTTATAGAGAAAGTATATGTATATTTGATAAATTAATTCATTTTATGGTAAAATATATATAAAGTTTTTTGATAATATAAGAATAATGCACGTACGGATTTATAAAAAAGAGATCTGTTTGATTTTATAAATCTTTTATTTATAGAACAGTATATGAATCTCTTACTTGTAAATATATTTACAGAAAGTGTATATATATTTGATAAACTAATTCATTTTATGAAAACATATATATATAGATAAATTGTCATTTTATTTTAAAAAATTTCCATAATAAAACCATATACTAATTAATTTTGATTAGATTAGATGAAACAAATAAAAAGCGAATTTGATTGTGTTTCCAATGTTTAAAAAAACAGTTATGATATTTCCCAAATATTTGGATATTTTGAAATATAGAATATTCCAACGAATGAATTAGGGATTGTTTCCAACGTTCTAAACAAAATATTTTGTATTTGAATAAATTAGGAATTTTAGATTCGTCATAATTTCGAAAATATTTTGTGATTTGAATGTAATGCATAAGCCATAGACAATTCTAATAGTCTACTATAAATATAGTAGTCGAAATGAATAAAGCTATTCTATTTTCTTTTTGAATTTGATGTTAAATTATATTCGAAAAGAAAATAAACGATTTAGAACAAGTGCATCTTATGATTGAAAAAATATTTTTTAGAACTTCAAAACTGAAAAAAAAAACTCAAGTTCTTGATTGAAACCAAAGTTGGAGAGCCTTGTAGTAGCGGCAGTCTCCACTTGCTTTGATTGTTAAGATCTGATTTCTTACTTGCTTGTGAAGCCATTTGATGTCTAATAGTAAGAAATAAAGCTATTCACCAACCATTCAAAGCTTTTCTTTACTATTGCTATATCGTTCTAAAATCACAAAAAATGGCTTTTATATTTGTTTTGTTAAGTTGTCGTTTAGTTTTTCTATAATAATGAAGTATTTATATTTGGTATTTATATATCTTTTGTATTTTTAGATCATGAGTTATACTACAGTAGCGAATGGTCACAACAATTACCAAACGAACAACACATCGACTGTCAAACGAACAATAGAACAAGTCAATGGACATTGCAAATGACGTTAAGGAAAAATCATACGTACGGAGGCCATTGAAAATTTATATGAAACCAGATCCTTCTTCTTGTAGTTGATGAGCCTAGTGTACGCAGAAATTACCATGATTTATTTAGTGGTGATCCTTCTTTTGTTGTATTAGGCTGTTGTATCTTGATGTACACATTGTGGTAGGATTTACTTTTCTTCAATCGCATCACAATAGCTCTCAAAACACAGATAATTACGTCATAACAATAGAAAAATTTAATGGTTTTCTTAATTTGTGTGAGAAAACTTTAAACGACAACTAAAAAAACAGAGGGAGTATTTATGGTAAGTAGATTTAATACTGTGTTTGGTTATTGATTTTAGAATATTAAGAATATGAATAGTATAATTAAATAAATAAAAAATAAAAAATGTAAGAAAAATTGTGGGCTCGCCACGTCAGCCAAAATAATATTTCTGGAAGAATTGTGTTCTATAAATTTTATTGATATCAAAGCTTCAATCAAAAATAAGTTTTTAGAAATATTATGAAAGACCTTAGCCACTTAATGATTTTGACATTCAACTTAGGATTTTTGCTTATACATTTTTGAAGGGTTTAACATTTCGAATCGCTTATGAGGCCTATCATCCGGACAAGGGCCGACGCAAAGACATCTTCCAAGCTGACAAACGGCCTTTCTTGTAGGTGGATAAAATTTGAGGCATCTGAGTCGACAATGCTCGCACCCATCGCCAACAATCCAATCATTACATCCCATATTCTGCTCAACTATATCAAACAAAATTATTTTCGTCAGATAACAAAAAATATATTAAGATTTAGGAGATATCAATACACTGGACTAAGATATATATGATATATTTGCCAATGAATCTAGCCGAAACTAAAAATTAGAGTAGAGTTTTTTTTGAAAAAGTAAAATTACAGTAGAGTTACGTGAACATATTTGAAGTAAACCACAAAGGTAAATGTATAACTAAGGCTAACGTTAACACCACGATGAATTACAAGTCTACAATATTGGATACATATGCCAACTCATTACTCTATGAATAAACATTAAAGATAAATGCATACCTAAAGCAAATATCACAAGAAAGATGATGGGGACGACAAGTGAAGAAGCTGCCTTGGCCATTTTTTTGTTTCTTGTTTTCTTTACGTGAAAAATTAAGAGACTACAGAAAGGAGATTTATAGAATAATGCACGTACGGATTTATAGAAAGGAGATCTGTTTGATTTTATAAATCTTTTATTTATAGAAACGTATATGTATCTCTTACTTGTAAATATATTTATAGAAAGTATATATATATATATATATATTTGATAAATTAATTCATTTTATGGTAAAATATATATAAAATTTTTGATAATATAAGAATAATGCACGTATTAATGTGTGGTTGAAAAAAATAAAATAATGCACGTACGGATTTATAGAAAGGAGATCTGTTTGATTTTATAAATCTTTTATTTATAGAACAGTATATTAATCTTTTACTTGGAAATATAACTGATAAATTAATTCATTTTATGGACAATATATAAAAAAATTGTCATTTTATTTTTAAAATTTTCCATAATAAATCATACTAATTAATTTTGATTAGTTTAGATGAAACATATAAAAAGCGAATTTGATTGTTTCCAACGTTTTAAAAAACAGTTATGATATTTCCCAAATATTTGGTATTTTGAAATATAGAATATTATATTCCAACGAATAAATTAGGGATTGTTTCCAACGTTCTAAACAAAATATTTGTATTTTTAAATATATAATTTTTTTTGAATAAATTAGGAATTTTAGATTCGTCATAATCTCGAAAATATTTTGTGATTTGAAGCCGTAGACAATTCTAATCGCCTTACTTCTACTATAAATATAGTAGTCGAAATGAATAAAGCTATTTTTTTCTTTTTGAATTTGATGTTAAATTATATTCGAAAAGATGGCTTTTATATTTGTTTTTTTAAGTTGTCCTTTAGTTTTTCTATAACAATGAAGTATTTATAT